CCATCTGTCAGTGCCCATCAATGCCACATACCAGTGCCCACCAGTGCACATGAATGCCACATATCAGTGCACATGAATGCCACATATCAGTGCCCATCAGAGCTGCCTATCAGTGTCAGTCAGTGCTGCCTATCAGTGCCAGTCAGTGCCCATCAGTGCCACCAATCAGTGCCAGTCAGTGCTGCATATCAGTGTGCGTCAGTGTTTCCTATCAGTGCCCATCAGTGCCATATATGAGTGCTGCCTTTCAGTGCCCATCAGTGATGCATGTCAATGCCCACCAGTTATGCCTGTCAATGCCCATCAGTGCCTCCTCATCAGTGCTGCCTATCAGTGCCCATCAGTGCAGCCTATCAGTGCCCATCAGTGCAGCCTATCAGTGCCCATCACTGCAGCCTCATTAGTGCACATCCGTGAAGGAGAAAAATTACTTATTTACAAAATTTTATAACAGAGACTTTTTTTTCAAAAATTTTCAGTCTCTTTTAGTTTGTTTAGCAAAAAATAAAAAACCCAGTGGTGAATAAATACCATCAAAAGAAACCTCTATCTGTCTCAAAAAAAATTATAAAAATTTTGTTGGGTACAGTGCCACATGACCACACAATTGTCATTCAAAGTGTGACATCACTGAAAGCTGAACATTACCCTGGACAGGAAGGGGGTAAAAGTGCCCGGTAGGCAAGTGTTTAATTACCTTTCCTCAAGAGAATAAATTCTACTAAAATTCATGTGCTACTGAAGAATGTGCTGAGTGGAGGAGAGAGCAGGGACACAAGCTCATAACTGTGTTGTTGCTCTTTCACTGTTCAGTCACAGGCCATGGGCTTCTTTACTGCTCAATCACAAGCTGAGGGTTGGGCAGGTCACCAGGCTATAATGCTTTACTGCAGTAAAGAAGAGGAAGGTCACTAACCCAGTTGTGTCATCAAGCAGAGCTCATAAGTTGCTATGACAAATGTATATTAGTTCAGCTTTTACTAACATTTATCTTTTTCAAGATTTTTTAAGGTAACATTTGTACCATAAAACCCTTATCAGTGTTATCAAAGTGCAGTAGCATACTAGTCTTTTTACTTCTATATATAGACCATCTGTGCTCCTCTTCATAGTCCCTGTGGTGTGCCATGTCTTTTGATAATACTGTATACTTGTGTGCGAAATCATTTTACATTGTGTTATTCATATTCTTAGCTGTCTAGCAGAATTTGTGTGCACACTGGACAGGTGTCATTTAAGCGGATAATGTTCTTTTGTTGCTGGTTGTACCCTTGTAACTGACAATTTTTACCTTCAAACAGATAGCATGTAAAGTGGACCTGACCTCAAAAAGTGAACATTTACTATGTTATAGGGACTTTGGGTGTGATGCCTAAAAAGCACCCTACAAAATATACCTTTTTCTTGGATATATCTTGACATATAGCCATACAATTTGTGGTTTCTGAGGGTGCCTGACCTCTATCTAGTCTTAGGAGATTTTTCAGTAACATTTGGTGATATCACTACTGTTTTGCTCACTGTTCTGTTTGCTGGAGGCTCTGACATAAGTAAGCAAAGCCCTTCTCCTATCAAGATGCCTCCACCCAAAGTGCAGTACAAGGCATGGGAAGCTATTAGTGGGGAAAGCTGAGTTGCAGGAAAACCACAGGGAATACCCATATGGAAGAAAAATATATTTGAAATGTATTTTTAAAATATTCTTCCCAAATATATTGCCATATAATCGAAATGCTACAATTTTGGTCATATTCAATATATTATATATATATATATATATATATATATATATCTCATGTGTGTGTATATATATATATATATATATATATATATATATATATACTATATATATCATGTGTGTATATATATATGTATGTGTGTATATATATATATATATATATATATATATATACACACACACACATATATTTATATATATCATGTGTATCAATGTGTTTTTATATTACAAAATATTTTTAAAAATACATTTCAAATATACTGTATGTCTTTAAAAATACAAATCTACATTTTTCGAATGCATGTACAAATACATGTAAAAATATATGTTAAAATGACTTTTTTATATGTAAAAAAAAATCTGAATAATATATTTAAAAAAATATATATTTATTGGAATATATTTTGAAATATATTGAATGTGACCAAATTGTAGCATTTCAAATATATGGCAATATATTTGGGAAGTTATATTTTTAAAATATATTTCAAATATATTTTTCTTCCATGTGGGTGTTGGTGATCCTTTGCCCTCTACCTGTCTTTTTGGGGCACAGCTTCCAGAGTTCATTTCCTCTTTAAATAAATATGACATTATGAAATATGAAATTTGTATTTCAAAACACACTTTCTGCCTACCATATTTTCACATTGCTGCTGTTCTCTTTTATAATTTAAATGTAACACAGTGTCCAAAATGGTTATTCTAGTATGATGACAGCGATGTAGAAAAAGGCATTTCATTCTAAGTTTTTTAATTCAGCATGTCTCTGCAGTGTAAGCTTTCCAAATAGAAGTGTTGTAATGCTCAGCTTATGTCACATCTGTGTATGCTGACAGATGTCTGTAGCCTTGGAAAATTATTTCAGGGCAAGATTTAATCAGAGCTCATAAAAACAAATTTCATTCTAAAGCTCAGTGTGATGGATTTGTAGAGAATTGAAATAGTTTGGATTGTTTCCTTATGGCAAACAACAAATCACCGTTTTGTGCTTGGCCCATGTGTGACTTTTTAAATCTTTGTGATTGTCATATGGGAAATGTTGAGGCAGCCATTGCTGAATTACTTCTGAAAATGTTAGTGACCCATTGATTTTAATGCTTTCTGGATCATTGACCTGAACAATGACAGCCTCCATGTTTCCTGTAGAAAGACTATGTCTAGGGTAAGTAAAAAAAAAAGGCACTGTGAAGAAAATGGTATTTATACCTGTCCATTGGCCAGTTTGCTAAAACTTAACTCTGGAGCAGTGCTTCTGGGTCAGTACTTATTCCACACCTCCAGATATGTAGAAGACTGTGTCCTCCACTGGCCACTGTGGTTCCACTCATTGACCTCTACTTGCTTCAAGACAATTGTTGCCCATATGTTCAGCCAAATTCTTGCATTCATAAATGCAGTTGTGTTTATGGTTGTCTATGATCACAAAACGCAAAGGCATTGTATGAATGTGAGATAGGGACCTTAGATTGTACACCCTTGAGGGTTAGGGACTGATGTGAATGTACAATATATGTTTAAGCGCTGCGTAAATTGACGGCACTATATAAGTACCTGAAATAAATAATAAATAAATAATAAATAAACCTACCTACCTGCAACTGGTGTTTTTCAACTGCATAGGATGAATTGATCATGTCGTTTGTTGGTGTCATTTGTTGGCCTGTATGCATAGCCTATAGTAGAGTAAATGTTCAGATTTTTGTGTCAGATGTTTCTGTTTTTGTTCAAACATGAGTTATGCCTGATGGCACTGCAAGGGTTATTGAATGACCTACAATCACTTGATTAGGTATACCTTGCTGGTGCCAAGAAACTATCCCCCACACTATTACACCACCATCCTGAACCGTTGATACAAGGCAGGATAGATCCATGCTTTCATGTTGTTTACGATAAATTCTGAGCCAACCATCTGAATGTTGCAGCAACCAGTCTGCCCATTCTCCTCCAACCTCTCTGACATCAAAAGGCACTTCCTCCACACAGCTGCTGCACACTGGATATTTTCTCTTTTTCGGACCCTAGAGATGGTTCTGCGTGAAAATCCCAGTAGATCAGCAGTCTTTGAAATACTCAGACCAGCTCATCTGGCACCAACAACCATGCCATGTTCAAAGTCACTTAAATCCCCTTTCTTCCCCCTTCTGATGCTCGGTTTGAACTTCAGCAAGTCGTCTTCTCCACGTCTAGATGCCTAAATGCATTGAGTTGATGCCATGTGATTGGCTGATTAGCAATTTGTGTTGACAAGCAATTGAACAGGTGTACCTAATAAAGTGTCCGGTGAGGGTATGTCTGTGGTGTGAGAACTGACACAGTGGGGGAGATTTACTAAAGCTGGTTCACTCAGAATTTGAAACACCTGTGCATGGTAGCCAATCAGTTTCTAACCTCATCTTGTTCAATTAAGCTTTGGCAATAAAATCTGGAAGTTGATTGGTTTCTATGCAGAAGTGCACCTGATTTTGCACTCTCCAGCTTTCGTAAATAAACCCCTTTCTGTGAAGGAAGTAGATAACCCAAAATTCCTGGCTCTCTCAGTCTAGTGTTCTGCAGGTGAGAGCCAAACAGTAGTTCGATATGAAACAGACAGAAACAGGCAGAGCAATTAACTGAGGGCTCTGTGTTCTGGAAGATGTGTTTTCATCTCATTAGCCCTCCCACATTCTGTGATGCAATACAGAGGAAATGGCAAGGCATGCACTGTATGTGCAATCTGAAGCAAGTTGCCTGTCCCTAGGGACAAGCTAAGTGAATGAATACATGGATATAGGGGAATCGATTAGCCATGACACTACAAACTGCAACCACAAAATGTGAACCCATCATTACAATGTAAGACAAACAATACAAACAAAACATGTTTATATGTTGAATATGAAAAGCCTGAGTGTTGTCCATTAAAGTTATAATTTTTCCTGTGCATTTTATAAAATGTTTTAATAAATGCTGCCACCTGATTAGTCTGTATGGGTATATGCAGTTAGCCTATATATATACTATACATATAATTAATGATGCTCAATATTTGCAAGTAAAAGAAATAGATTTGTATTCAATATAACTTCAAGTGTTGAAATCAAGAAAGCTATTTTTGATTAACATCAGTTAGAAATGTTTGTCACGACCAGCATAACATCCTCTGTTTCGGCAGCATGGAAACCAGGTAATTGGCACGGACAAGAAGACAACGAGATGTTAAAATTCAATGTTCAACAAAGAGGTCATTACATTTTCTGCAAACGGTTTTGTGTTGCAGGTTACTAATGAGCCTCCAAAAGGTCTCCGTGCTAATATCCGTCGCGCCTTTACGGAAATTACTCCCACATTCTTCGAAGAGCATCTGCTTGGCAGAAAATGGAGAAAAGTTATTTTTGGAATTTGCTTTTTCCACGCTATCATTCAGGTGACTTTCGTTTTCTACTGACTAATCTACTGGAACATGTATTGAAAATTGTTAGCATAAATTAAAAGAAAAGGTTAACACTTCTGGCAGTGTACTATGGCCGCACATAACTTCAGTGCTGTTATGGTATTGTGCCTAAAGCTTAACTCCAGGACAGAAGGGTAATTTACTGTGTAAAAATAAATTAACTCTTTTGATGCTGTCCCACGTTTGGCTGCTGCTTCAATCAAGAGAACATTTACTTTCATTCAGCCCATAACTGCTAATAAATTGTGGTAGTACCTGTATCAGGTTGATTGATGTACACCTCCTCTATTCAGAAAAAGCCTTGTATTTTTTTAACTGAATGCAATGCTTTCTGTGATTGGAAAATAGGAGATCGTGACATTTACCTGTCCAATCATAAAAAGCCTTGCATTTAGTGAAAAGAATACAAAGTTTTTTTTACTTCCAGGAGGTGTACAGCAACCAAACTGATAAATGTATTATCAATGGTACTACATTTGGCACTTACATATTGTGGGGTCAGAGTGAAATGAACTATTTTACCAAAAGGAGCAGCAGTCAAATATGAGACAGGCATCAATAGAAATTATTTATGTTTGTACAGCAAATAGCACAAAATAATGTTTTTTCTCCTGGAGTTTAGCTTTAAAGTCGATACATCATGAATGGCATTCAATACTGTTATTATTTTTATTTTTATTAGACCATGGAACATAGTGAATCACTAGAGACATGAACTGCAGGGGAATTTATTGATGGCAGGATTTTAAATGTATTTTTGGAGATACTGCTGGTTTGTGTTTTTTTCAACACGTCATATGTATCTTTGGCTATATATCCTACTTACTGCACTGCAGTTCTGATTATGGCACTTTTATAGTTTATACAAACCTTTCCTGCAAAGATTGGAGCTCTGTTGAATGGATTTGGTTTTTAAAAGCACTGAGTGCATCTATGATCTGAAATATATTTTAGTACAGCTTACTATATATGAGATGTAATAACTCAGTTTATGTCCTAAGGGCTCATTCATATTAAAACTGAAAGTCTTTTTAAACCCAAAACAAAAAAAATGTAATATTATTATTATTATTATACAGGATTTATATAGCGCCAACAGTTTGCTCAGCACTTTACAATATAACGGGAAACAATACAGCAACAATACAGTTCAATACAAGAGGGAAAGGAGGGCCTGCTCCTTGGAGCTTACAATCTAGGAGGGAGGTGCTAGTGGTACAAAAGGTAGTAACTGTGGGGGATGGACTGGTTGGAAGAGTAGAAGATTCCATTATTAGCTGAGAGCAGGATAGGCTTCCCTGAAGAGATAGGTTTTCAGAGATCGCCTAAAAGTGAGCAGAGTAGGCGATAGTCTGATAAATTGGGGTAGAGAGTTCCAGAGGATGGAGGAAGCTCTGGAAAAGTCCTGGAGACGAGCATGGGAGGAGGAGACAAGGGAGCTAGAGAGCAGGAGGTCTTGCGAGCAGCAGAGAGTATGGGTTTGGGTGATATTTAGAGACAAGATCGTTGATGTAATTTGGGGCAGAGTTATAAATGTCTTTATACGTTATTGTTAATGTTTTGAATTTTATCTGTTGGGCAATGGGAAGCCAGTGGAGGGATTGGCAGAGAGGGGTGGCAGATACAGAACGGTTAGTAAGGTGGATAAGGTGGATAAGTCTGGCAGCAACATTCATGATAGACTGAAGAGGGGATAGCCTGCGATTAGGTAGGCCAATGAGGAGGGAGTTACAATAGTCAAGGCGAGATATAACAAGGGAGTGAATAAGTTGCTTAGTGGTTTCCGAGGTTAGGAAAGGGCATATCTTGGAGATGTTGCAGAGGTGAAGTCTACAAGATTTGGACAGTGAATGGATTTGGGGCTGAAAGGACAGATGGGAGTCTAGGATTACACCTAGTACCCTGGTATGAGGGGAGGGAATGATGACTGTGTTATTGATCTTAATGGAGAAGTCAGGGGAGGGGGCACGGGCTAGGGGGAATACTAAGAGCTCAGTTTTGGAAAGATTGAGTTTGAGGAAGTGGAGTGACATCCATGCCGATATGTCGCTTAGTAGGTTACTAATGCGAGAGGAGACTGAAGGGGTGAGGTGAGGGGTAGAAAGATTTGTGTGTCATCAGCATAGAGATGGTACTTAAAGCCATGGGAGTTTATCAAGTGACCAAGGGAGGAGGTGTAGATGGAGAAGAGAAGGGGTCCAAGGACAGAACCTCGAGGGACCCCTACAGAAAGAGGGAGTGAAGGGGAGGAGGCAGCATTATAGGTAACACTGAAGGAGCACTGCGATAGGTAGGAGGAGAACCAGGAGAGAGCAGAGTCTCTGAGACCAAGAGAGTGGAGTTTTTTGAGGAGGAGGGAATGGTCAACCGTATCAAAAGCCGCAGAGAGGTCAAGCAGTAACAGTACAGAGTAGTGGCCATTGGTTTTAGCTGTTAGTAGATCATTAGTGAGTTTTAGTAGGGCAGTTTCAGTGGAGTGTAGTGAGCGAAAGCTTGGTTGGTGGGGTCCAGGGAGGGCTTTTTAAGTAATGGAGTGATGTGGCATGCTTTAGAGGGGAGGGGAAGGCACCAGTAGAGAGGAAAAGATTGAAGATGTGAGTGAGGGAGCATAGGATGGAAGAAGAGGGTGACCGTAGTAGTTGTAAGGGGACAGGATCCAGGGGGCAGGTAGTGAGACGGGCTTCTGAGAAAACCTTAGTGACCACTTCGGTAGTAGCAAAGTCAAAAGAGGAAAGTGTTGAGGGAGGTTTAGTATAAGGTATGCTAAGTGGGATGGGTGTCTGTGCAGTGGTGATACCCCTACGAATTGCATCAATCTTGTTTTTGAAATGATTTGCAATCTCTTGAGCAGTGAGTGAGGTACTGGTGGAGGTGGAGAAAGTAGAGAGTTAAAAGTAGAGAAGAGACGACGAGTACTGGATGACCAGGTATTAATAAGAGTGACAAAGTAGGCTTGTTTGGCAGCATGAAGGGAGGAATTGTATTGTATGTTGAGAAAGCAGATTTATATAGGGTGAATGCTTACTGGGAAACTGTGAAGGTGATGAGATTGTGATCAGAGAGAGGAAAGGGAGTGTTTGTGAGGTTGTAGGGAGTGCAAAGATGGGGAAAACAAGGTCTAATGTATTCCCATCAGAGTGAGTGGAGGACTGTATACATTTTACTAATGCAAAAGATGAGGTTAGGTTGAAGAGTTGGGATGTAGCTGGGTTGTTGACATTAATAGGTATGTTAAAATCTCCAAGAATGGTAGTGGGTAGTTCAGAGGAGAGAAAGTAGGGTAGCCAGGCGGAGAAATCATCAAGAAAGCAGGACACCGGTCCAGGAGGCAGATAGATCACTGCAATCCTCAGAGAAATGGGAGAAAACAGCCGAGTGGAGTGAGTCTCGAAAGAAGAGAAGGATAGAGAGGGAGGGTTAGGGAGGACTTGAAATGTGCTCAATGGGGATAGAAACAAACCAACTCCACCACCTTTCCGACCACTGGGTCTGGGTGAGTGGGTCCAGATGAGGCCTCCAGCGTTTAATACTGCTTAAAGTTTAGTTAAAAACTGTTTTTTGCTCTGCAGCAACTCCTCTTACATTACTTACTTGTACTGAAATATGGCTCACGATGTTCAGGCTGCTGGATTCTATTGAAATCTTCACTGCAGGGCTGCCTTGTCCTCTTCCTGTTGCTTAACATCCTTCTTTGAAAAATTAATTTTCACAACATCCAGTAAGCTAAGGGAAAATTCCCATGCATATTGAAAACTCCCTTGCACAATAAACATCCTATTTCTATTTAGTAAATCAACCCCTAAGGGTTGAAAGGGACCACAGATGGTTTTGTATGTCACATACGAAACCCTGTAAACCCTTGAACTAGGGAACTGTGGATTTAATTCTATGTCTGTAATTTTGTTTAATTCCTAAGAATTAAAATATAAGAAACTAAATATAACATTTCTATATGTCTAAATGTACATGAATATTTTACCAAACACAATCATTTCTATATTCTAAAAGCTTTTATAGTATACTTTTTCATAAATTAAAAATAGTCTCCTTTGCAAAGGTTTATCCCATATCTGTGTGGCCATATTGTTTGAATATGCCTATGGGATATCAGTGTGTAGGAGCTTCTGTATGCCAGTAGATGGAAATGACTTTCCATGAATTTGTTTAGGTTGATTTAAAATTGGCATCTTAGTGACATGGCAGTTTTAAGGCTCAGCTGGATATGTTGAAAGTACAGCTTAGGGAGAATTTTCATGAATGAAGCAAGCACTTTTCTAGAATGCTTACAGTTTTGAAGCCATAATTACACCAAAGGTCAAATAGACAGTACGGCATGACTTTGAATATACACTAATTACAGCTAAGCAGAGGTCTTAGCAATTGCTTATTCATTTATGTTGCTTTGGTTTAAAATAACATGTTAAAAGCAGTAGAAAATGGTGTGACATTTTTTCCAGATACTTAAACAATAGATATTATTGTCCTCCTGATATTATTTTTGCAGAAGCACTGTAGTGGTCCTGTGCCTAATTCTTAACATAAGGCTATCTTAACATGTACTTTTCTTGCCTTACATGTTAACCTTAAAGAAAGTAGGCCAAGAAACATGAGGGGTGCCATTAGCTACCTCCTACCTCCTCCTCCTATTTGCTTGGCTGTTGCCTGACCTGGCACAAGCATGCAGATTAGAAGGTTCAAGGGGATCTATGTACTTGTTCAAGTTAAGTGCCTTAGAAAGTAGCATGATGGCCAAGCAACTAACATTTTTTGAAGAAGAGGTAAGCAGTGTCTGCCTCCATATTCTATCAAAGGTTTCCTTTAAATTACACCTCCATTTTCCCTTCCTTCCCATTGACCCACAGTTTCAAATGGTTTTGTTGCAGGAGAGGAAGAAGTTTGGACCACTTGGATGGAACATCTGTTATGAATTTAATGACAGTGACAGAGAATGTGCTCTGCTTAATTTAAACTTGTACTGTCAGGAAGGAAAAATACCATGGGACGCACTTACTTATATAACAGGTATGTGTATTTGAACATAAAATCAGGGGTCTAAATATAGTACCCAACTTTGAAAAGACATTTGGGGAGATTTTTTCAGGTCCTTTTTATGCTATTTCTAAACATTTTAACAATTGCAGGAAAGTAACAAATGTGCACATATATGTCATATGTGCAAAGTGTACAGTAGAAATGATGCAACTATGGCTTGGTTCACATTACTGCGTTGTGAGTTTGATTCGATTTACAGCTTGATTATGTCATGTCACTTTGATGGAACTTTGCATATTCTATGGGGCCAAGCTGCACTGTAAAGCAGTGCAGGAACCTTTTCCAAAATCACTCCACAGTCGAGTTGATTAGCATGGGCACCGTCGAAAACAGTGAGATTTCTCTTGGCATGCAATTTGGTGCAATTCAGGTCCCTTCAGAAGTTGCACTACTGTGAACCAGGCTACTACCTTTATTTTGATTGTGCTGTCCCTACAAAACTTTTTCTATTCTACATCTTCACTGTAGAGTTCTTCCTAAATTCATAGCTAAAGCCGGTTTAATTGTGTGGTTGAAGTGTGGTGTCCATTCTTTTCTTATTGCAGACCAATGTCTTTTTTATTGGTTGGACTAATATAGCATGAAGGCTTAGTGTCAGGGGCATACAAAGCAAAAAAAGACTATAAACAACCATATGTCTATAAAGTTTCAATAAAATGTAAAGGTGACATACAGTATGCTTGAAAATTCTACAGAATTCTACAGAAATACTATGAGTTAATATGTAAAAATAGTAGCTAATAATACACATTCATATAATTATCTAAGTTGATCTTGGAGAAGGGGCTGTCAGCATGATGAAACTGTTAAGTCCCATGTAGATTTACTAGCTATACTCTTTCCAAGTAATATACTACTAAGTAATATTGCTGTTGTTTGGACTATTTATTGAATATTTTATACAGGAATGATCTATTTTTCAGTTCAGTTAAAGTAAAGCAGTTTTAGATAGACACAGCAGAGCTATGTTATCTGCATACCCACTGAGCTGTTGTTGTTTTGTATGAAAGGTGCTAGTTATCCATGGTGTCTATCATCGTTTCTCTGCCATTGCTCTGCACCACATAGGACCTTTAAGCATAAGTATGACAAATCTGTTGAGCTGTAAGAAATTACTGTAAAAAAAGAAAAAAAATGACAGTAAAACTGAAGCATTATACTATTTTCCAGGGGAGATAATGTATGGAGGAAGAGTAACTGATGCATGGGACCAAAGATGTTTAAGGACAATCTTAAGGAGATTCTTTTCTCCAGAGACCCTTGAAGACAATTACTGTTATTCTAGCTCAGGTAAAAAAAAAAATGGTATATAGGTCTTACTAGCTATCTGAAACCGCTCATCACTGTTCTTGTCTAAACTGTTAACCTAATGCACAACAAGTAACTTCAGAAGAATAACAACCCTTTATATAAGTGTATACGTATGCAATTCTATCTTTTTTACCCTAGTACTTCATAGAAATTAGGTTAACCGCCTTGCTGACTGCCTTGCTTTATTATCTATATTCAATTCTATCGTATAGCACTTTATTATTAAAAGAATAGATATATTTATTAATCATAAGTACTTATATAGCGCTGTCAATTTTTGCAGTGCTTTACATATATATTGTACATTCACATCAGTCTCTAACCATCAAGGGGCATACAATCTAAAGTCCCTAACTTACATTCATACATACACATACTAGGGATCATTTAGAAAGGATCAAATTAACCTACCAGCATGTCTTTTGAGTGTGGGAGGAAACCCACGCAGGCACAGGGAGAACATGCAAACTCCAGGCAGGTAGTGCCGTGGTTGGGATTTGAACCAACAACCTTAGTACTGCCAGGTGGAAGTGCTAACCATTTAGCCACTGTGCTGTATTGTATGCAGGAGCTCTATGTTCCCTTCGTAGAAAATGCCAGCCTACCTGGCTTCAACTGAGAATTCCTCAAGCAAGGGTTGAGGATAGCAGTATGCTGTCTTTCTGAAAGCTAGCTGAATATTGTACTCATCTGCAATCTCCCTTGTAGGCTTTGGGGGTGAAAAGTGTAGACAAAATTTGAGGACCACAGTGGCTACACTTTCTTCTTAATACAAACTCCAGACTGTGTTTCCAGGGGAAATTACTTTCAACAGACTGGCATAGCACTTTCTAATACTAATCCCAGCACTAGCACATTAGCACATTATCCCAGGCAGGGGTTGAAGATTGGAAGAAGCTGTTTCTCCCAAATGGCTAGCTGGGTATTGTACCTGGCTGCTTTTCCCCTATAGGCTTTGGGTGGTGAAAGTAGAGGTACTCACTCTGTCCCTTGAAATCTTGCTGCTTGGCAGAGACTGCTGTTCAGGCCTCCTACTGTACAAGTCCTCCCTTGTAATTCAGGGTGTCTCCTGGATGAGACTGAAGGGTGGTGAAGATCGCTCTGATCAAACTGGTCCTTGCCCTTCTTCCTCAGATCCTGCCTGGAGGCAGAGCCCCCAGCCCCAGGTCCCCTCTAGGCTTCACAAACCTCAGCACTCCATACTCCAACCAGCAAAAACAGCCACTGGCCAGGCTTTTCAATAATTATGGGCACATCTTACCACCTTTCTATGACTCCTGCCTGGCGACTGGTCAAACTCCCATGAATATTCAGATCTCTGCCCATGTACCTCCGCCCTCTGCCTTCTAGACATTTCTGGAAACTTCCAGAACCAGGGGGGGTGGCAGAGGCTTGACCTGCAGAACCCTCCAGCCTGATCTGAGCTTGAACCCCACAGACATGTTCACTTCAGCTACTTCTGAGCCAAAATAAATTTACCTAATTAAAGTATGCACACCAGAGGGTGATATACAGTGTATATACTGCATATATACACCCTGTTCCAAATTATTATGCAAATTATATTTAAGTGTCACAAAGATTAAATATTTTGTTTTTCAGTTTAACTCATGGATGGCATTGTGTGTCAGGGCTCTTTTGATCCCTGAAAATAATCTCGGTCACCTGTGTTTATTAGATTGGCAGGTGAGCCCAATTTAAGGAAAAAACTACTAAAGGAGGGTGTTCCACATTATTAATCAGAGCACCATTTTCAAGATATATGGGGAAGAAAAAGTATCTCTCTGCTGCCGAAAAGAGTGAAATAATTCAATGCCTTGGACGAGGTATGAAAACATTAGATATTTCACGAAAACTTAAGCGTGATCATCGCACTATTAAGAGATTTGTGGCTGATTCAGAGCGGGTTCGTGCAGATAAAGGCACATTGAGGAAGATTTCTGCCAGATCCATGCATCGGATCAAGAGAGCATCTGCTAAAATACCATTACATAGCAGCAAACAGATATTTGAAGCTGCTGGTGCCTCTGGAGTCCCACGGACATCAAGGTGTAGAGTTCTCCAGAGTCTTGCAACTGTGCATAAACCTTCTATTCGGCCACCACTAACCAATGCTCACAAGCAGAAACGGCTGCATTGGGCAGAAAAATACATGAAGACTAATTTTCAAACAGTCCTGTTCACTGATGAGTGCTGTGCAACCCTGGATGGTCCAGATGGATGGAGTAGTGGATGGTTGGTGGACGGCCACCCTGTTCCAACAAGGCTGCGACGTCAGCAAGGTGGTGGTGGAGTCATGTTTTGGGCCGGAATCATGGGAACAGAGCTGGTCAGCCCCTTTAGGGTCCCCGAAGGTGTAAAGATGACCTCTGCAAAGTATGTGGAGTTTATGACTGACCACTTTCTTCCCTGGTACAGAAGGAAGAACTACGCTTTCCGTAATAAAATCATCTTCATGCATGACAATGTACCATCTCATACTGCAAAGAATACCTCTGCATCAATGGCTGCTATGGAGATAAAAGCAGAGAAAGTCATGGTGTGGCCTCCATCCTCCCCTGACCTCAATCCTATCGAGTACCTTTGGAGCATCCTCAAGCAAAAGATCTATAAGGGTGGGAGGCAGTTTACATCCAAACAGCAGCTCTGGGAGGCTATTCTGACATCTTGCAAACAAATTCAAGCAGAAACTGTCCAAAAACTCACAGGTTCCACGGATGCAAGACTTGTGAAGCTGCTATCAAATAAGGGGTCCTATGTTAAAATGTAACGTGACCTGTTAAAATGTTTAAAAAGTTAAAATGTTGTTAAAAGTTTGATTGAAATAGCTTTTGATTTCAGTAAATATGCTGCAAACACAACAAATTACAATTTTCAGTTCTTTACAACCTATAAAGTGTTTTGAAACTTACTGTGCGAAATAATTTGGAACAGTGCATTGTAAGTTTTTTATGTTTAAAAAAAAATACTGTTATCATTAGGAGGTTTGTTCAATAAAATGTGAATTGTACTCTTAATAGTTGATAATATGAGAATTATGCTGACTGTTTTTTACATCAGTTATTTAGGTAAATGAGAAAAATATCATTTGCATAATAATTTTGAACAGGTGTGTGTGTGTGTGTGTGTGTGTGTGTGTGTATGTATATATATATATATATATATATATATATAGCCTGGCATTGTGTGTTTTCAATACATTTTCTTTCCTTTAAAGTAGAACTCCAACCAATATTTTCTATTTTTTTATTTGAGTGGGGAATAGGTATAGACAATTTTGTCATTAGACTAATGTTAATTAGAAAGAAAGTTAGGACAGATCCAAAATGTTATCTTTCAACAGGTACTCCTATTCTGGTGAGTGGTGGCCAATGACAAAGACAGCATTTTCCCTCATTTTGAGAAGTCAAAATCTCCTCAATGGCAATACAGCGATTAAAATGTAGCAAGTGTTTTAACCTTTCCAAACTCGGCAAAAAAAAAAATCCCATGCAGTGAAGCTGTGCTCACACTGCATGGATTAGCTGTTTGTTTTTTTCTAGGGGAGAGAAGCACATGCAGGCACATGCCATGCCGGGACATCCCCACTGCATGGGAGAAAACACTTTTGCCTAGAGATGGGCTTCAAATTTATTTTGGCTAAAATTCTTCATTGATTAGGTTGTTATGTCTTATTTGCCTGAATAAATTCTCACTATAAGTTAACCCTCCAATTTACATTTTTCCTGTGGGTATGTGAGCAGCAGAACAGCATCTTTTACTGTGTTTGTTTTTAAGCATTGCACAAGGTCACAGATATAATATATTATTTAATAGGTGTATTCAATGATGAGGAGATGCTGAAGAAGTCCTGCTTCACATTCTATGTGAGAAGGTAGTGCGCTCCTCGGAAGAGTTCATAACCCTTTAATTCTTAAATATCTACGTACAACACGGTTTTCTTTTTCACAAATGGTAATAACACACATTAAAATGTACAATAAATTATTTAACACCTGAATAGTTACAAACTCCAAATGACTTCAGTAGTGCACACAAGTAAATGCCTTCTTCCGTATAATAAAATGACTAGTTCCCAAAAATGCATTATTCATACTGGTCAAGTAAAGTGCATTAAATTTGTAGAGTTACAGCTGAGTAGTGCAGGATGACATTTGGTAATGCAAAGTAGGCCTTGGTTGAGGTCCAGAATAATAGCAATATTTTAATTTGTCCTACCATGAATTATGGATTGAATAGAAATGTTTGGAATGTAACAACAGCCACATGCTTTTATATCAAAAGTATTTCAGGGGTTGTTGTGTGATGGACAGTATTATTCGTAATTGTCTTAGTCTATAAATCCCCCTTTCCTCAGGCTACAGTGTATTTCATTTCAATAGATGCTTTTGTGCAAACCCATATTCTTTACGTGTTTTTTCCTATTTAGAAAAAAATTAGCAAAAACTAATGAGCTGTATTTTTAAACACACTTTAGGTATATATTTCAGTCCAGATGCTGACAGTCTGCAGTTGTATAAAGAGTACATAGAAAATCTGCCCTTGACCGATGATCCAGAAATATTCGGAATGCATGAAAATGCCAATTTAGCTTTCCAGGTTTGTGTGCTTATGGGTACTTGCTCTAATTTAATTGTGTGAAGCATGGATTGCAGTACAGCTCAAAGGAAAATGATGATTTAATCATAATAGTCTGTTAAACAGAGATAATAGGCGTTAGTTGCCTTTGTATGTCAATCTTCCAATAATAACGTTTCTTTTGAAACCATCAGATGGCAAACTGTACATAAGCTTTTCACAGCAATCCCAGCCATGGCAATGAATAATATTTAAACAAGGGATATGTAGAGGTTGGTTTCCTTTAATACAGAACAAAGTATAACCTTTTTTTAAAAATGCTAATGTTCTTCATAGCATAACAATTATCATGTAGGATACTTCTATGAAGAACATACAGTAAGTATAACTAAAGCCTTTTTTGTCATTTTGGAGGTTTTTTTGCCATATGTGTCTTTTAGGGAGATTTCCTTAAAGTGGAGTTCCACTCACCTGTCAAAAATAAATGTCAGCAGCTACAAAGACTTTTAAAAAACAGCCACTTACGTGTCCCTCGGTCCCGTGGTGTGTCCCCCGCAGCCCATTTCACCAGCCACCCTGGATTCCAGGAGGCCGGCATCTTCAGTTTGGGCACCTGGCTGTGATAGCTTGCAGCTTCACAGCCGGGTACCCACTGGGCATGGGCGAATAGTGCTGCGCTTCATGAATGGTCCTGTAGTCTTCTGGGACCTGTCACGTGTCCCAAAAGACTACAGGAAGGGAGGACACCTTCCATTTCCAATCGCCTAGGCGATCGGACCGGAAATGGGAGCAGGTACCTGTCAAATTCAGGTACCCGCCCCCCAAAGGTGCCAATCCTTAATGGGGAGCAGTTCTTAAAGTGGAACTTCCCCTTTTGGGTGGAGCTCCCCTTTAAAGGGTAAGTTCACCTTTGGGAACATGTAACATGTTCCCACTGCTGCAGCTGCTGCTCGTTGTCCTCTCTCCCTGTGAATGCAGTATGAGGAGATGTTCCCCATACTAGCTGTCACTTTTTGAAAACAGTGTGGCCGGGACAGGCTCTGCCCACACCGCCACATCATTCATTCACTGAGTTCTGTGAATGAATGAACTACAAATCCCTACAGACTTTGCAGCTGTCATCTTGTAGTTCTTAATGAACTACCACGGCACTGTTGCACTACAGTAGTTCATTGATTCTTCCTGTCACAGTGTATCTGCTTGCCTGTATAAGGTAGGAACACACAGATACACTGACAGGTTTTCAGGATTCCTGCATGGCAACAGTGATCTGCTGATCACTGGTGCAATGCTTTTCAATCTCAGTGTTTGCTCATGATACAAACTAAGAATGGCAATAACTTCACAGCATGATATAGAAACCTTACATGAGGACCTCAGTAAAATAAAGGGGTGGGCAACTATATGGCAAATGAGGTTTAGCCCTGGTTCGCACTGATGCGGTGCGGAATTCGCAGCTTTTTCTGCGCAAATTCCACACCGCATCAGAATTGCACCCTGTTCATGCAAACCGCTGCTGTTGTGTATGTTAAGTTAACAACACCCCGAAAGCAGTCCACAAAATGCGGTGCAATGTGCAGAATCGGATCGCATAAGTGTGAATACCCATGTGATCTGATTCTAGTGCGGACCAAAAAAGGGTCCTGCACCTTTTTGGTGCGGGTGCGGTGCGATTAGAGCCATACAAAATGTATGGCTCCAATCACACCGCAGACAAATGGCATGTGATTTGTACAGGAAAGTGGTGCGGTTCCTGTGCGAATCACATGCGATATACCGCACCGCATATATGTGAACTCAGGCTTAATGTTGAAAAATATAAAGCAATGCACTTGGGGTTCAAGTTACTCTCTAGGAGGAGAGCCACTGGGGGAATTCCCAGATTGAAAAAGATCTGGGGGTCCTATTAGATCACAGGATCAGCAATGGCATGCAATGCCAAGCAGCAGCAAGCAAAGCAAGCAGAATATTCCCATGCATTAAAAGTGCATATACTCAAGAGATAAAAACTATAATTCTACCACTTTCCAAGACTCTGGTTCAGCCACATATTGCGTATACCATTCACTTCTGGTCACTAGTCCTCAGAAATGTAGTGCTGGAACTGGAGTGAGTCCAGAGAAGGGCGACAAAGCTTATAAGGGGGCTGGAGAGCCTCAGTTACGGGGAACGGTTTCAAACACAAAACTTATCCTCCCTGGAGAAGAGAGACACTTGAGAGGAGATATTATATTGATATACACATACCTCAATGGTGATTCCAGCATAGGGAGGAAACTATTAAGGTTGAGGAAGCTTAAGAAGCCACTCATTGAAATTTGAGGAGAAGCAGTTCATCCTTAACTGCGTAGAGTTACTGTTGGAGCGGTAAGGATGTGTAACTCCCTCCCACAATCAGTGTTGTTAGCAAGAAGTGTTGATAGTTTAAAAAACTCTTAGATGGGCTTCTTACCCCTGGTTCACAGGGGTGGTACCGCTGCGGATCCGCACAAAAATCCGTGCAGCTGCACCACCCGCACAGAGGAATGCGGACCTGCGGGCGGGTGCCATTAATTCTAATGGCACGCCGCCGCCACTGCAAATCACAACCGTACTGGGAACTGAGGTTCCTGTGCGGACTGCATTTTCTGAAGAAGTGCAGGGACTTCTTCCCTGCGTGTCCCGGGGCATGGGAGTCCATTCAAATGAATGGGCTCTCCTGCCTGTGCTAAACGCGGCCCGTAGCACCGCGGAGATGTGAACCTAGCCTTAGTGAACACAATATACATATATATGGGAAATGGTATTGACATAAACACACAGACACATATGCACACCTATGCAGGTTGAATTAGATGGACAGATGTCTTTATTCAAGGTTACCAACTATGTCAACTATGTAACAATAGCTCAGCGGGGAAGATTCCCCCATTCACATCAAATGTGTGGACAGGGGAATTGAGTCAGTTTTTTTTTTCCTTCAACCCCCTGGTTAAAGGGTTTTTAACCCCTTGCCACTATCTAAAGCTAATAAAATAGCCTTAATTTACATCTCAAGCAAATATAACATTAGCTTATCTTTTCTCTTTTTAATTAAATCTAATATTTATAACAGTTATGTTAAAACAAATGCACATTCAAACCACATAGATGCTGCCTTGGTGAAAGCAATTCTATCAAAGGATTATAATGGTTTTCAGGACTGGAAATTGAACATTGATTTTTAGCTACTCTCACACATGTCCTTTAATCTTATCTGATGCTTAGAATCTCCCTAACACTTAACCCTGTCCTCACCAAAATCTTAACCTAACCCTAAAATGAACCCTTTACATTTAACCCTTGCCTTACCCACCCACTTAAAATTAATCTTCAATAAATAACCTCATCCGCAAATTAAGCTCCCTAAATCCTAACCCTAACTTTAACTCTTACTCTAATGCATTCTCATCAGGTGTAAGCTGCAGTGGGAGCACACATTTACAACAAAACTAGTAAAAAAAAATGTTATTTACAAAATTATATTTTTATTTTTTTAAATCTGATACAGTTTAATCCTTGTTAAATAGCTTCCAAGTAAAAAATAAACAAAGTATAGTAAAGTACTTGTCACAACACAAACAGAAGTTGAAACTGCTTCTTCTGAAAGTGCCAATTGCTTGCCATGCTGATTCTGCACTTAAGTACTTTCTAGGTCATTGATCTGGAACAGGTATGCAGATAGAGAAGTCTGACTGTTTTTTACTGTGGTGGTGATTGAAAAAGTATTGAAATCAGAACAACACTGCAATGTGAAATTTTGTTTGGAGGTCTGCAACTGCAGCTCATTGTTTCTGTAATGGCTGGCTTTTTTAAGTAATTTAGAAAAACCAAGGAAATGACACTTGAACTATGTGTGTGCATATCCAATCACTGTCCAAGCCAGGAAGAAGATCCCAGCGGGTACTGGCAGTGCAAGAGCTGTCTCACTAAAAAAATCACAAGCACATTTCTTTAAAACAATATCACTTAAAATGACTAAACTGTACTTTTTTATGCAGCGCAAGGAGACAAGTACCTTAATTAACACCATCTTGGAGGTACAGCCAAGGTCTACAGCTAGGGGGACTGGAAAGAGCAATGATGAAATTGTCAGTGAACTGGCTACCTCCATCCTCTCAAAACTTCCAGGTAATCATTATTGTATAAGCAACCTATAAGATCTTAACATACATGTGATTTTTTTTGTTATCACTGCCAGTGGCTATAGCCACTAGCAGTAATCATTGTGTGCAATAATGTTGCGGGAGGGATTCCACCATCAACACTAATTGTGTTGATTGAGGTGTCGAGTAATTTTCTTTTCTTCCACCCATGGTGAAAAGAAAAAAAATTGTATAATCTATGGTTTGCCTTAGTTTAAAATTAAGACAGAATAGCCCCACCTCCTCAATTACTATGAATTGCCATCAGTAGGGATTGCAATAGACACTAAGAAGCCACCCCATGTGCATTGTCTGCACTGGTATAGCCTGCCCTCATCAGGCACCAACTGTCTGCAGATGAATCCATTTTTGCTGGTCACAGATTTCTCCCTTGTACATTGCAGGAGCATGAAAGTTGTAGCTGGGGACCTGCGCACATCCATCTGGCCATAGACTATTTCCTAGCTTGCCTTATGAATGATGCAAAGCTCAGGTTTCCTGTGGGTGTTCCAATTTCTTCTTCCAAACAGAAAACAGCTAGCTTTTGTAGATAGCTGATAACATGCTAGCAGTCTCTTTGCATTTAAATTAGTCAACTTGTGATGAGATATATGGGGCTGTCATTGTGGATCATCTGTTGAAAATACAAGTTGCATGCCTGTTTTTGCTGTCCCACTGGCTTTAAAAATATCCAATTACTAAACTGGAATGATATGCAGATTAGGAAAGCTTAGAAAAAAAATTCTTATCTACATACATGTTCCGGGTCACTAATTTGAAGCACTGAAGCAAAGGGGTCAGCACTGCAGCAAGGCAGCTGGCATTACTTTAGAAACACACAATATGCACACGCATTACCTTTTCCTAACAGGGATAAAGGCAGTACTTTAAAAGGATTTCCAGGTACGGATATATTTATGTGGGCATCATTCAGAGATGGCTTTGCATTTTCTAAATGAATGCAAAATGTTCTCTGATTGGATGAGGTGGAGAGAAGGAGTGTGTCATCATGCTCTCCACCTTGGAAAATCAGAGAATGCTTTGTATTCATTTAGAAAATGCAAATCATTCTCTGAATGGTGCCCATGCCCTACGGCCATCCCCCTGTTTTCACAACGAAGCAGAGCAGCAGCTTGGCACAGGACCTGAAATGGAAATTTCCATCATCTAGAGCAGTGGTTCTCAACCTTCCTAATGCCGCAACCCTTTAATACAGTTCCTCATGTTGTGGTGACCCCCAACCATAAAATTATTTTTGTTGCTACTTCATAACTGTAATTTTGCAGTGGGAGGAGTAGTGCCACATCATTGGTGTCAGTGAGAGGAATAGTGCCACATCACTGATGTCAGCGAGAGGAATAGTTTTCCATCGTTGGTATCAGTGGGAGGAGTAGTGCCACAACACTGATGTCAGCGGGAGGAATAGTGTCCCATCATTGGTATCAGTGGGAGGAATAGTGTCCCATCATTGGTATCAGTGGAAAGAATACTGCCACATCATTGGTGTCAGTGGGAGGAATAGTGCCACATCGTAGGTGTCAGTGGGAGGAATAGTGCCCCATCATTGGTGTCAGTGGAAGGAATAGTCAATTCCTAATAGCCAATCACCGGCGAGGAGGCGGAGCTGTTGAGTGATCCCAGGGGTGTGGCCAGATGACAGGGGCGGCATGTCATCCCGCCCACACATTGCGGTCCAGGGAAATGTGGGTGTATCTGCATGTGGGTGGACCCGCCTGGAGACGGATAGAGGAGCGGTGTCTCGGTTCCTAAGACCATCAGAAATATGGGTCGTTCCGATGGTCTTAGGCGACCCCTGTGAAAGGGTCGTTTGACCCCCAAAGGGTTCGCAACCCACAGGTTGAGAACTGCTGATCTAGAGGGATCCCACAGGTATGGCATTCTTCATACCTGTAACTTTTCTTCAAAACCACACTGAGGTTCCAAACATTACAACACACTATCCCCCAGAAAAATTTCACTGGAGTTCACCTTGAAACTTTATTGCTTGAGTATTTTTATGAACTATAACTACAATTTATAATTTTTCTGACCCTAGCTGTGGATCTTGTATTCTTCTTTGAAATTTAACAAAAGAATTACATTTTGTATCAGATACATTTTGAAAGACATTTTATTCAGTGTTCTTCACCTCTATGTTCTATGTTGTTTGCCCCTTTTATAGGCCATTTCCTTGATTGAAGTAAGGGTAACCTAAGAGCTGCTGAGACTGTGCTTTTGTTTGCTGCAAGGACACTGAATGTAACTTTCAGAAACATCATATTAGATTAGCAGTACAGTCAGTGATGACCCAATTCTTATTAACCTAAAGGAACAGACAAGCTTCACCTTTATGAACTTATCAAACCCTATATAAAATGTACACAAAGACAATATAAAAATCTGGATAAGATGAATTATGCTGTTCATTTTAGTGTTTCAAATGCTGCAGCCCCAAAATGATGTGCTTTAAAAGTCATATACAGTAGTATGTTACATATATGGACACTCATAAGTGCTGCATTACAATGGAAATATCTTTAGACACAAAAATTCCAGCCAGGCCATTAACTTTTTTTTCTCCATGTCTGTAAGAGTATCTGCTGAAAACTCAAACATGCCCACAAATAGGACAGTTGACGATTATGAAATATTGTTTTCATACATTCTTGCTGTATATACTGTATGATCAACTCATTTATATATTGGATTTTTGAGATGGAAGATTGCTTGTAACAGGGTTCCTATCCTTTTTTTTTTCAATCCCAAAAGGTTTTTTTAATATTGAAATGGGCATAAAGTAGCAACATCAGTGTCGACAAAGACATACACCCATGTTGTACGTATTCAGAATAGATAAGACAAGGTCTTTGTAATATAGAGTACACAGAGATAATGTATTACATAGACAATTGGCAATTTATCAAATTGTTGAAGTCAAATGAAAAGAGAGACCATATCAAAGACTGTTTTCAGGAATAAGTGCAAAATAATATAGAAAATCCCATAAAATTAGATTATAATCAGTTGAGAAACTATGAAAACCTAAACCAAAAGTGTCATATGCCATCTCAAACAGAAGGATATTTGAGAGTCCATGCACACTGGCTTAAAAAAACATCAGTTCTCTGGGCAGGAAAACACACCAATTTTGAATGTTTTTATACTAGTGTTTAGGAGCATTTAGCAGCATTTAGGGGTGTTTAGCATTTTTTTCTGCCAGAAAAGCACTTTCAAAAATGCAAACAGAATGGGTTTTTTTCTGCGTCTTAACGCTGATCTTAAAATATCCCTCTAAACCAGCCTTTCTTGACCAGAGTGCCCAGGCGCCCTGGGGTGCCTTGAGATTTCTTCAGGGTGCCTTGGCAAAATGTCTAAACATTGCCCAAAACTTGTATACAAGCCTGACAAGCCAATGACATCATCAGTTGATAAGGAGGATGTCAGCTGCCTGCACAGCATCCTAGTTTGACCCTCCCCTGCCCCTCTCCGTCAGTGCTGGGGTCACATTTCTATGGAGAAAAACTGAGAGAGAAGAGAAACACTGGAATACTACTCAGTACCAGTGTGCAAAAGCGTATTTGCTTGGAAGAATAAATCACCTCTAATGTTAAGTGTCCTACATGTGTGGATGTTGCTGCTTTACATAAAACTATTAGAATAGTTTTTCACATTTTAGAATGGGGTGCCCTTTTAAAATTAAAGACAGTCTTGAGGCACACCCATTTTAGAATGCCTCAAGACTGTCCATAATTTTAAAGAGTGCCTCGGGACTGTCCATAATTTTAAAGGGTGCCTTGACTGAAGAAAGGTTGAGAAACACTGATCTAAACAACCTAATGTGCATAGACATATAGGATAACATTAGTTGCTTTTACAGGTAAAACGCAAAATGCTCCTAGAAGGAGTGTTTTTTTTAAGTCAGTGTGCATTTAGTAGTACCCTTAGATATAACAGGTTAAGGAATATATCGTCAACACACCAAGGATTTTTTAAATAGCAGCCAGATGTTTATTGAAACAATTACACCACAGCATAGGGTATTGACTTTTCAGGGTCATACAGGACCCCGTCTTCAGGCATTGTCAAATGCCTGAAGAAGAGGTCCTGCACAGCCCCAAAACATTGTTGCTCTCTGCTGTGATGTGATTGCTTCAATCCAACGTCTGGATACTATTAAAAATAGAACATTGGTGTGTTGGCCCTGTATTCCTTAACCTTGTGTCGATACAAGTTCCCAGTTGGCAGTCGCTGCAGCACCTGCTTACCATAATTTATATAGCCATTTCCAGGCATTTTCATCTCAGATCATTTTACTAGACTTGGACATAACAGATCACAACTGAGTATTTGGCACTTCAGCCTGACTACATTGGGCTTAAAGCAGGGGTGTCAAACTGGTGGCCCTCCAGCTGTTGTGAAAGTCCCATCTTGCCTCTGCCTTTGGGAGTCATGCTTGTAACTGTCAGCTTTGGAATGCCTCATGGGACTTTTAGTTTGGCAACCGCTGGACGGCCACCAGTTTGACACACCTGACCTAAACAAATAAGAGGCACTGTTCAAAATCAAGTAGGAGCTGCATCTAATGGACATCAAGTAGAAGATTCTGCCTGCCAAGAACCCAAATTTTCATGTTGTAAGGTAGACACCCCAGCTATCACCCTATTTATCTTTAATGTTTTCAAAGGCTGCTTATGTAAATATATAATATAGAATTTTATATAGGACTTATGCTAGGAAAATATTCATGGATAGAACAGAAGGTGTTAAAGCAGAATTATAAGCAAACCTTATAAACCTTTATAACCCATGTCCCATTGGGGAGATTTCCCTTCAATTCCTGTCCCATAGCCAAACAGGAAGTGAGAGGAAATCCGTGCAAATTAAGGGAATTCCTTGGGGACCCCCACATCACCAAAACTAGTGTCCCAATTGGAACATTTCCCCTCTATTTACTGGGGACAACCCAAAATTTGGGATTTTCTTTTACTTTCACTTTCAATGATATTAGTAAACAGTAAAATTAGAAAGGGTGAACCTCCTTAATAGGGACACAGACAGTAATAAAAAACTGACAGGTGTTCTAATACACTCTATCCAAAACTAAAAAAAAAAAGTTTTGCCTTTTAGTTATACTTTAAGGGTTGCAGCACAAAAACTTGGAAATAATACCAGTTTGGTAAACCTAGCCAAAAAATCATCCATTTGCAGAAAACAAGCTCTTGCTTGTACTAACAACACCAATGCAAATTTTGAATATAAAACAATAAAATCCAGTCTAGATGTAAGATGTTTTAGACAGAACATGGTTCACTGCTTTTGGATATTCAGTGATAATGATATTTTGACAGTGTATTATTTTTCTGTGTAAATGAATCATCATTTTCTGACAATCTTCATCTAGTGTGCAGCACTCAGCTATATTTTGCATTTATTAAACAATGTAAATTGTGGGATTAATAAATAAACTTGAAAATGTTTTGTAGAAAAACTGGACACGGAAGCTTCATTAGAAACATTGTTTACTAAGGACTCCAAGGGACGCGTTAGTTCATTGACGACCGTACTTGGACAAGAAGTAGATCGATTTAATAATCTTCTCAAAGTACTCAGAGTAAGTTTGCTTGAAGAAATATAGTTTTTCTTAGGTGTTAAAGCCCAATTGAAAATTCCACTTTTTATAGTATAATTTAAGTAAAGTGTGCAGGAAAACAGTGTTCTGTACAGGTCTTATTTTCATTTTGTGTCTAATTCAGCTCCAATGACAGCACAAAGTTCTAAGTTAAGAAAGCATGTTGCAGAGGACGGTGTGCTCTGTATGAGAGCAGTAGTCTCTCTGCAGTGGTTCAACATGTTCCTTGCTGAGTGAGAGCTTTGCAATTATTAGGGAGCATAAACTGTGCTAATTGCAGAGCTATGTCTCTACAGGAGGATGTGCTGGACAGAGAGATCACTGCTTTCACACAGAGCTTACAGTCCTCTGTAGAATGTTGCCCGGACTTACAATGTTGTACTATCACTGAAGCTGAATCAGACAGATAACAGAAGCAAGACATGTACGGGACACTGTTTACAGTGCCTTGAAATAGTATTCATATCCCTTGAAATTTTCCACATTTTGTCATGTTACAACCAAAAACGTAAATGTATTTTATTGGGATTTTATGTGATAGACCAAAACAAAGTGGCACATAATTGTGAAGTGGAAGGAAAATGATACATGGTTTTCAAACTTTTTTTATAAATAAATATCTGAAAAGTGTGGTGTGCATTTGTATTCAGCCCCCTTTACTCTGATACCCCTAACTAAAATCTAGTGGAACCAATTGCCTTAAGAAGTCACATAATTAGTAAATAGAGTCCATCTGTGTGTAATTTAATCTCAGTATAAATACAGCTGTCCTGTGAAGCCCTCAGAGGTTTGTTAGAGAACATTTTTCAAGTCACTGTATCATCAAACTTTACTTAGGTCTTGTGCACACTAGAGAAGCTAAAAACTACTGTAGAAATGCTGGACAAAAAAGGCTAATGTTTTAGTGTTTTTTTGCCGGTATTTAGCAGTGTTTAGCCTAGTGTGTAAGCTACATTAAGTAGCTTTAGCGTTAAGAAGTGCAGCCGTTGTTAAAGAGAGGGCCGGGAGGCCAGCCACCCCGTCGTTAACAACGGATGAGTAATCAGCTGTCAGCTGACAGCTAAATGTATAAAAAAAACCCCATTGTCGGAAATAAAAAAAATTGTGAAAAAGATGTTGTGGGGGTCCCCCCTCAATCCGTACCAGGCCCTTTGGGTCTGATATGGATTTTAAGGGGAACCCCACGCCAGGGTTATGGGGGTCTGTTTGTAGGTGGGGAGACCCCTTGTGACGTCACCGACCCAGCATGCCCCATGTCGGTGATGTCACAAGGGGCCTGAGTCTCCCAGTGACATCACTGGATGGCCCCGCCCCCTGGTTATTTAAGAGCTATCAGACAACGGAGCTACCAGATGGTGGGAGCCTTCATCCAGACCTGAGGGTTTTTTCCCTCACTTTTTTGGGTTGGCAGTGGCAACGGGCATCGTGATTGATGATGGATCTACACCAGAGGACATATTTTTGATTTTTTAATAAAGGACTTGTCAAAAACTTGTGTTATATTTTTATTTAGTCTTTATACTGTTTTAGTGAATATTTATCAATATTGATATTGATGGACTGACCCTTTGCCAAACTGAGTTAGGAAAAATATGAAATATTCTCTCAAGTTCCGTTATCCGCTATAGATACAGCCATAGCAACCTTCAGTATGTCACTACCAGTGGCTTGGGGCATGGTGGAATCTACTTAAATAGACATTTCTAGATACATCAGTTTGTAGTGGGAAATAAATCAGGATTAGATTACACTGTTCAACAAATTTTTATTTTTTTTTTTGGAAACAAAAGGATCCATTTCTTAATGAATTTCACATTCTGAGTTCAAATATAACAATGAAATTTGTCAATTGGCTCTAGTTTTTCTGTAAACGGAAAGTTTTCTACTATAGGCGTAATGACTGCATAATGCACAATAATTATATAGATAGATGTCTTTCCACAAATATAAAGCAAGTGATATTGACTACATAACAAAGCCTAAATGGCATAATAATTGCATAGGATTACCAAGAAAAATTATAGCCATAAGCTAAGTTGAATCATTTTAATACTTAGGATTCTCACTAGTTTTGTCTTCAGTTTGTGTCGGTTTTGCTTCTCTTGGCTTTTCTCTTGTATTCGAGGAAAGGGCTATCTCTTACAACTGCACGTGACTACACGCTTCAGGTTCTTCCTCACTTGACTCACCACGAAGGATTCTGGTGCTTTATAAGAATTGGTAGCCCCTCTCCATGAGGAACTGGACGTATTGCCGATGGAATATTTGGATAGTGCACAGATAACTTTTTCTTCTTATTTAGCCCTTTTACAATTGGAGGCACCATACAAAAGTAACAATTACTAACATGATCTGTTGGCTCTCTCCAAATCATTGGCACAGCGAAAGGCATAGATGCCTTTTTTCCATTCAACCATTGCTCCAGTGCCGTCCCACAAGAATTGCAGCATATATGTGGTGCCCAGCTCTTGTCCTGGTCTCCTTCTTGCAGCCAAAATACAGTTGTAGGCTTTCTTATCATTCCTGTTATCCTCCTTTTTTGTGAGATAAAAGTTATTTCACCGCAGATATAGCAGAAATTATCTGCTTTATTCACACAAGTTCGAGGCATTACTGAGTAGCCTATATAAGCATAAAACGAAATGTAAAGACGCTGTCGAACTACAATCAGCTACAGATACTGCAGCTTTTATGCAGTGAAGTGATGCAATTAAAGGCTAATATTGCATCATCTCAGTATACATGCAATTTTCTATTGGTCACCAGTATCAATTGCGCAATATGCAGCTGAAGTTGCATCATAATTTTGAATGGCTTACGTCATTAGATGGGTGAATATATCATGGAAACTAGAGCCAATCAACATTTTTTTAGGGTCATTTTCGTTTTCAGCACCCCAAAATTATGTAAGATTAGCTAATTTTATGCTGTTGAACAGTGTTATTGAATCATTAGTATAGGCACGTCTATAAGATTGCAAATCAGCAAATACATTGCTTCCCACTAGTTTTTGATTTAATAAAGGGAAGAATGAGAATACTTTTTAACATGAAGGCAAGGGGCCAGAGGGAATTTTGCTATAAGACTATCAGTATAGTTATTCCCTTGGGTAATGTATTTTGTTGTAAGATTTACCATTAGTAAAACCTATGTTGTGCTAAGTATAATGCAGCTATTTCCATACATGATTTGTTCTGTTTTTCCATCAGAATTCTCTAGAGACCCTCAATAAAGCTATTGCTGGCTTTGTGGTCATGTCTGAGGAAATGGAGCAAATATACAAGAGTTTCCTGAACAATCAGGTTCCCACATTGTGGGCTAATGCTGCATATCCCTCACTAAAACCCCTGGGATCTTGGGTCAAAGACTGCTACTGAGGACCTCATTTATAGATGTAAGTAGGCATGAGATTCTGTCTGTTCCAAAATCAAATTTTATATCTGCACACGGTTAATAGTCTCTCATGCAAGTACACAACATAATACATGCAATATGAATTTTTTTCTAGGCATGGATTCGCATGGGTCAGCCAAAGTCTTTCTGGATTTCAGGGTTCTTTTTCCCTCAGGGATTTCTTACAGGTAATGCATTATTATCTACTAATTCAGATTGCATTAGCTGCTTTGATTTCTATTTTAGATGGTAGTGGCCTGTCTGAAACGGATTACACATACTGCAAAGGACTCCCACATTGCAGATGACCAAAATTATTCAACCCCCAATGCTGTAAAGGGGTTTTAGGGACTATAGTGTACATTTGGAATTGTATTCAGAATCAAATCCTACAAGGACGTTGTAACTACCCAAATGCAACTAAAATGACATCAATTGTTTATGTAATACAGTAGTAAATGGTTTCTTATGTGGTTTCTTCATTGCCACAATTATTCAACCCCTTAAAGACTACCACTCTGAAGAACAGAGGTTCATACAGGTGCTTTCCATCAGGTATTGAAAACACCTGTGGATGTCACCGAGCAGCAATCAAGCATAATAAGCACCAATTAGGCAGCTTTAAAATGACTGTGATACTCAGCTCCTTCTAGACATTTACTGGTGTGGTTACAAACATGGTGAAGGCAAGAGAATGGTCCAGGAAGACAAGAGAAGAGGTGATTTCTCTTCACAGGAAGGGCAATGGCTATAAGAAGATTGCAAAGATGTTAAACATACCAAGAGACACCTTAGGAAGCATCATTCGCAAATTCAAGGCAAAGGGCACTGTTGAAACGCTACCTGGGTCGTGGCAGAAAGAAGATGCTGACTTCGACTGCTGTGCGCTACCTGAAGCGTAGAGTGGAGAGAAGTCCCCCGTGTGACTGCTGAGGAACTGAGAAAAGATTTGTCAGATGTGGGTACAGAAGTTTCAGCCCAGACAATAAGACGCACACTGCGTAATGAAGGCCTCCGTGCCAGAACTCCCAGGCGTACCCCCTTGCTGTCTCCAAAGAATAAGAAGAGTCGACTGCAGTATGCCAAAAGCCATGTGGACAAACCACAAAAGTTGTGGGATAGGTGTTCTGTGGACTGATGAAACAAAATTAGAACTGTTTGGGCCCATGGATCAACGCTATTGTTTGGAGGAGGAAGAACAAGGCCTATGATGAAAAGAACACCTTGCCTACTGTGAAGCATGGTGGAGGGTCAATCATGCTTTGGGGGCTGTTTTGCTTCTGCAGGTACAGGGAAGCTTCAGCGTGTGCAAGGTACCATGAATTCTCTTCAGTACCAGGAGATATTGGATGGAAACGTGATGCAGTCCGTCACACACCTGAGGCTTGGGAGACGTTGGACCTTTCAACAGGACAATGATCCCAAGCATACCTCCAAGTCCACTAGAGCATGGTTGCAGAGGAAAGGCTGGAACATTTTGGAGTGGCCATCGCAGTCACCAGACTTAAATACGATTGAGAACCTCTGGTGGGACTTAAAGAAAGCAGTTGCAGTGCGCAAGCCTAAGAATGTGACTGAACTGGAGGCCTTTGCCCATGAAGAATGGGCGAAGATACCCGTAGATCGCTGCAAGACACTTGTGTCAAGCTATGCTTCACGTTTAAAAGCTGTTATAACTGTAAAAGGATGCTGTACTAAGTACTAAGATTGAATGTCACTTGGGGGTTGAATAAACTGATAATGCTGTGAGCACAGAAAAGACATTTGTGGTTATTTCATTATACTGTTATGTTATATTTGTCTGACCTACAAGTGCCTCTTTAATGTAAATGTAAGCAAGATGACTGAATGATCAAAAGCAATGTCAAAACTGGCCAAAACACTCAATTTCAGTGGGGGTTGAATAATTTTGGTCACAACTGTATATGATATATCAGGCTGGGCAGCGGGCACCGGAACATCAGGCTGGGCAGCGGGCACCGGAACATCAAGCTGGGCAGCGGGCACGGGGCCATCAGGCGAGGCAGTGTGGGCACCGAGTCATCTGGCAAGACAGCGGGCACCGAGTCATCTGGCACGACAGCGGGCACCGAGTCATCTGGCATGACAGCGGGGCACCGAGTCATCAGGCACGACAGCGGGCACCAAGCCATCTAGCAGAACAGCGGGCACCGGGTCACCAAGCTCAACAGCGGGTACCGAGTCATCTGGCACGACAGCGGGCACCGAGAGTCATTTGGCACGACAGCGGGCACCGAGCCATCTTGCACGACAGTGGGCACCGAGCCATCTGACACGACAGCGGGCACCGAGCCATCTAGCAGAACCACGGGCACTGAGTCATCTAGCGGCACCACGGCACCGAGTCATTTGGCAGAACAGCGGGCACCGAGTCATCTGGCAGAACAGCAGGCACCGAGTCACCAAGCTCGACAGCGGGCACCGAGTCATCTGGCACGATAGCAGGCACTGAGTCACCAAGCTCGATAGCGGGCACCGAGTCACCAAGTTCGACAGCGGGCACCGAGTCATCTGGCATGACCGCGGGCACCAGGGCGTCAGGCTGGACCGCGGGCACCAGGCTGGGCCACGGGCAACGGGCATTAGGCTGGACCGCGGGCACCGGGGGTGTCAGGCTGGACCGCGGGCACCGGCGCGTCAGGTGGGACCGCGGGCACCGGGGCGTCAGGTTGGACCGCGGGCACCGGGCGTTCAGGCTGGATCGGGTCATCAGGCTGGATTGGGTCATCAGGCTGGATTGGGTCATCAGGCCGGGGAGGATCATCAGGCTGGATCAGGTCATCAGGCCGGGTAGGATCATCAGGCCGGGTAGGATCATCAGGCTGGGTAGGATCATCAGGCTGGGTAGCGTACACTGGGTCATGAGGCATCTGGGCATCATGCTGAACAGCGGGCACTAGGCTGGATAACAGAAGGCGGGTTCTCAGACCACAGGCTGACCAGTTTGGATACTGGCAGGATGGTGCTGGTTGGAAAGAATTTCCGCTTCTTCCTGGTTTTAGTTACTGGAGCACTGTAAGTAAATGCAGGTCTGTAAACGGAGGGAGCAGCTTCTACAGATGACTTCTTTACAGGGTTAAAGGCAGGATAGGTGCAGCGAGTGGGAACAGGGGACTGACATATGGTAGATAGGGTATACTGGGCTGTCACGGGGGGTACTGTGGGAACTGGAGGAAGAGAGCTTTGAGCAGAGGAGTGATTAGAAGCAGGACTGGGTTGTTGCAAGCTGACTGAGGCTGGATGTAACAAATCTGACCATGTCTGCAGTACTGGTTGAACAAAGCTCCAGCTTACACAAAGCCTGTCTGACCAAAGACTGCACTGCATTTATAACAATCCATTAGCACCTGTTGTGAACATGCTGAATAATGCTCCAAGAAGTAATCCGCATCATCCTACAATAACCAAACCAGTGACTCTACTTGGTCTGTACTAAATGGCGGCAAAAAGTCATCCCTGCTTTCAGGGGTACCAGATGAAGCCAACTCTGCAAAAACCTGAATCAATGGTTTGCACCTCAGAGAACTCCGTGCTCTGATCTACTAGGAAATGAGCGATCCAAATGCATTCTAGCAGCTGATCCCTGCATACTCCTTCAGAGTCTGATAGGCATAATCTCTGTCATCTAGGACTAGCAGCGACAAATACACAACATCCTCAGGGTGCATCCTTCACAAAAATAAGCCAAGATGGCTTCCCTGTGCAGCCACTTCTGGTCAGGACTAGCCTTGGTGTAATGTCAGGGCTCCGGGAATGACCAGAGGTGTGTGGACCGACACAGGGACACACAGACTTCAGGTATAGCATGTAAACAAGATAAATTTATTAAGGACAACACAAACATAAACGCAGTGCAACAAACCAAACCCAAAGCTAACACAAATACATACAACAAGGTGAAACAAACCCAAACCTAAACTGATATATATATATATATATATGTATATATATATGGAGCACAACGTAGTCAGGCGGGCCGGGTCGGTAGCTAACGGGCAGACAAGGTACAAGGAGTAGGCAGACGATTGATCAGGAGTAGCCGAGGTCGGTTCAGGCAGAGTTCAAGCAGAGTCAGGATCAAGCAGAGTCAGGATAAGGCAGGAAGCAGACAGGATGCAGGTACAGGGGCTCATGGGAACAATACACCAAGGCACTGACTGCAGGCCTGGCCATTCCTTAAATACACCTCCTGCAATCAGCCTCAGGTGATGGCTTGATTGCAGGAGTGAGCTTCTGGCTGCTGAGAGCACCCACTGGCCAGCCCTGGTACTGCAGCCCACACGGCAGGTGAATCCATTCCTGACATCCACAATTCTAATTAAAAATCTTCTTTCCACCATATACTTCAAATGTTCAAATCACCAAAATTTCATATATGCCAAGTAGAAAGGAGGAAGAGAGTCTTCCCGATGTGTGCAGTGACGTCATGTCCAAAGCCCCCGCCCAACGCATTTCATCATTGGATGTGACATCATTGCACACATCGGGAACGCTTATGGCAGACTGAGATAACCCGAGTGAGATCCCAATACAAGCCTAAGTTGTTTATACTAGTGTCGGTGATGGCGCTGAAAAATTTGAGTGGTTTTTATGTTATTTTAATAAAATAGTTTTAAAGTTTTTACACTATGTGAGCTCTCTTCCTCCTTTCTCCTTGGCATATATGAAATTTCAGTGATTCTGGAGCTTCGAAAAAAGTCGGTGATCTGATGTTTCATAAGGATAACCCCCAGAGGGGAACGCTTGGTGGCTGGTTTATAATTTTACCAGCAATACATTCTAGTGAGTTGAAGCTAGCACAATTGGTGGTGGACACACAACTTGATGGTGATTTAAGTGATTTTTCACAGAGGACAAAATTAGTTAGATAAAAACACTTGATTCCTTGAAGAACTTTTGAAGTATATAGTGACGGTATATATGAGGAAAGAAGATTAATTAAAATTTTGGACTTTGCACAAAAAGATGTTTCTATTTATGTGTTGATCATGTTAATATTGTATTGTTGGTGATTATATGGGTATGTTATATATACACATAAGTGAGTTACATATGCACATGCACCTTATGACACATTCTATTTAATTTGAAAAAATGCTAAGGCACCTGGCGTTCTAAGACTGTGCTTAGCCTGTATGTGTTATATACACCAGTGTTTCTCAACCTT